GAAACCTCACCTTTCCTGGATTTCTTCATGTTTAGAATCAAGATCAAAGCATTTACTATTTCCTCTGCTCCATAACTCTTTCCCGTGGTTGACTTCCTCTAACTAAAGCAAGGACTTCTTGCAGGGGTGTCCAACCTGTATCCCGCAGGCCACACGCAGCCTGGGATGGCTATAAATGTGGCCCAACACAAAATCATAAATTTACTTGAAACATTATGAAATTTTTGTGTGATTACATGTCACAATGTATTTAGTGTGTGGCCCAAGACAACTCTTCTTTATCCAGGGTGGCCCAGAGACGACAATATGTTGGACACCCTGATGATCACTCCCAGTGGAAAGACACAAAAAACACAGTGGGTGCGTTTGGAAAACCACTAAGCCCTATGTTTCCCCTGTGTGTGAAGTGAAAACACTGGATTGGGTAAAGGTTATCAGTCATGTTTCTGCCCTAACACATTGGAAGGTATGAAACAACCCCATTGGGAACAGTGGCCAAATGCAACATGGTTCTTAACTCAAACATTTTCAGACCCTTTGAGAAGAATTTTGTGAAGTTTGAAAAAGCCCCCTTGCTTAGAATTGCCAGGGAGAATACAAGTCACAAAGTTACATTTGAATTTCAGATAAATATCAAATAATTTTGTAGCATTAATATATCTTATATATGCCTTAGAACATATTTATACAAAAAATACTCAAATTTAATTGGATATCATATAGTTTTATCTGCTCAATCCGGCCACCTGACTTCTACAGCACTCCAATTCTCTCCCCTTGGTAGTACGCACTGCAGTTAAAAAATGCTGAGCCCATTGCATTCAACAAAAATACATGAACTGCCAGGTGCTGTTCTCAATGCTAGGAAGTGTATAACAAATGGTACTTTTTTTAGTTTTCCTTTTTAAATTTTTTTAACTCATAGTGCTTACATTTGGGAGGGAGCTGGGGAACATATCACAATCAATAAAGAAACAAGTTCTTCTTCAATTCAGTCCTTAACAATTCACCAAATGTTTCTTAAGTGCCCACTGTGTTGCTGGGCAGAATAGAAGGCAGCAGAAAAAGGCAGAACAAGTATGAGAGGCTGTAGGCAGGAGTCAACAGGAGCTGGCAGGGCTGTTGCAGACATCACTCTGACTCAACAGCACAGGACACACGTGTTCCCAGCACCAAACTAATAGTGACGATGCAAAAGAGAATGTGATGCAAGGCATGGTCTTGTAGAAGTTGATAGAATCGAAGGGCCAGTAAACAAATAATTACCTAAAGAATTTAATGTGCTTTGGGTAGAAGTCCAGCACCCATTGAGAAGAGGGGTTACAGGACAATGAGATCATTCCTGGGAAGAAGCTTCAGAGGAAGTGTCACTAGACTGGAGTCTGAAAAGAGAGTAATCATTTATCAGGAAGTGGGGATGGACATTCAGGGCTGGAGGGAGCAATCTGCTGGGGGCCTGGGAGAAAGGTAGGTCATGCAGCCAGGATCAGAGGGGCAGCTGGGTAAGAAGTTGGGGCTCCATGTGGAAACCCTTATATGTCATGCCAAGAGTTCATACCATTTCTGCAGTTGCTGGAGAAGTTCCAAAGGACTTTAAGTGGGATTAGGATAGTAAAAATTGCTCAGGCAACAAGAATGGAGGCTGGGTTGGAGGGAGTCAGAAAACAGAAAAGCAGAGCCTAAGCAGAAACTTAACTTGAATTATCTCTAGAGTGGTAATATGAATGGGACCAAAACTTGAGAAATATTTAATGGCAATATTGAGAAACTGCTATGTAGGAAAAATATCAAAATTCAGTTTCACAGTGTCTCTCTTCCTTTTGGCTACACAAATTGGACCAAAGATACATTTAAATTTATAATTACAAACATTTCATGCTATATATAGTTGACAAATCAGAATTCTTGCATCTTTAGTTTTCATGTTTTGCTGAATGGATAGTTTCTTTAACTTTAAAATCTTTAAGGAGACAAGAGATAAACTGCATGGCATTCAAAGAGAGTCATTTTTTAAGTGCTTTTTCCTGTTGCAGATGTGTCTCTTAGGGAGCGGTTTGCTTTGTGTTCATAAAAGGTATTAAGTAGAAATGCATTTCACACTTGATAATTGGTCTTCACTTGGTTTGACCTTCAATTTGTTACTTCACGGGATATGTCTGAACTTCCAAAGGAAAGATGATGTTAGGGACACGATGCCTTTGGGGGTGGCTACTCAGTTAATTCCCTTTCCACACTACTCCACGCACCAAAGCTTTCTCTGTGGCAGAGTGGCAGAGAACACCACTTGCAACTAAATTCTTACATTTAGTTTTGCTTTATTTTACATTGTTTTCTTTCTTAGAATGAGTCTTTTTAAAAAGCCATAACAAAGCAAGTTGAGAAATCTGTGATGTGTGACACATTTGTTAAGTGCTATTGACTCTTCGCACCTCTGCAGAGGCAAAGGCACTAAAACTAGTGAAGCCGCTTGACACAGCCCTGTGGGGAACGGGAAAACTTCCCCGTTCCCTCCCCCCGTTCTTTTGGCTGGTTGAATAATCAAGTCAACGTGAGACAGACTTACAAGAGAACGTAATCAAATGTAATTTAACGCACACAGGAGCCTCACAAGTATGAGAGAGTCAGAGACCCTGTGCACGTGAGAGTTTCCGAGGCAGAAAGGGAAATGAGGCATCTATGACACTCTGAGCTGAGGACCATCCTGGGGCTTCAGAATGGAGGAAGATCCTTGCAGGATAATAAGAAGAGCAGGAGGATCCTGCTCTATAGTGCTGGGTACATACAAAGCATGCTATTATATTTTGTGGATTAAATTATTTTGTAAATTAAACTGAGATTTGTCTTTGTTACAAGACCCCTCTTCACAGATGCTTGAGGATTCTTCAAAAAGACCTCCTGGTCCCAGCCTGCGGTGGCCCCCTGGATTGTACTCTGTCCTAGCCCATTGGTTCATTTACACAGAGCAGCCCCGCTCCCTCTAGGCCTTCACCATAGGGATCTTGTTCAAGGACACAGACAGGCTCCAGACTTAGGGGTCAGGACCCATACCACCCTCATCTGTGCTTCTGCCTGAACACAGACCCTGAGTTCCCCCACTTGCAAACACATTAAAACTCCCCACCCGCTTCCAGTGAAGGGTTTCATCTCCAGTCTTGGCTCTCTCCAATTGGCTCTCTCCGTTGCAGCCAGAATGACCTTTATTGCTTTGTTTGTTGTTCACTTGCTCTATATTAAGGTTTATATATAACCACAATTTCAGAAAGACATTCACATTGGTTAATGTAATGCAATTTATTTTAACTTACCCTATGCAATTTGAATCAAAAGTCGCCCATAACTTAGGTTTAAGATAAATAAAATTTGGTTTATTTTTAAACCTTTTACAGCTGTGAAAAAATCTCTCAAATGCTATTAAAGCAGGCAGCAAGAACTATGAGAAAAACACATTCAATTTATTCTTTTTAATGATAGAAGAAAAACTAATGCAAAAATTGGTGCAACAAAGAAATTTTGTAATATCTCAGTGCAAAAAATATCAGTGAAAAAATTTTAATAATTACAGTGTAACCTTGGAGGTGGGAACCTTGTTTATATCCTTGTGTTAGTTTCATAGAGCTTTCATAACATTGCTACAAACCTGAGGGCTTACAGCAACAGAAATGTGTTGTCTCACAGACCTGGAATCTGGAAGTCTGAAATCAGGGCGTCAGTGGGGCTCCCTTCCAGTTTGTAGGAGAGAACTTTTTCTTGCTTCTCCCATTTTCTGGCTCCTTCTTGCATTCCTAGGCTCGTGGCAGCATAACTCTGCCTCTGTCTTCACATGGTCTTCCGCTCTCTCTGTCTCTCAGCGTCCAAATCTCCCTCTCCTTTCTTTGGGCCCGTCTTTGGATTTATGACCCACCCTAATTCCAAGATAACTTCATCTGCAGATCCTTAGCTAATAACGTCTGCAAAGATCCTATTTCTAATGAAGTCACCTTCTGAGGTCCTGGGTAAGCATCAGTTTGGGGAAGACACAGGCAGGTAGAGTATAAATTTACATAAACCAAGATCCAAGGAATTTCTTGAATCTAAGTCCATTTGATTTCATCTGCTGAGGTCAACAAGAGGGCTCAACTTGTTGAGCTGTCATGCTTGTTGAGCATTGGCTGTCAATATTTCTGCTATTTATTTTTAAAAGGGCTTTTATATCCCAGTTTCTCCAAGTCTAGCCCAGTAATAAATTACCGCACTAACGAGTATACCTTCTGCATTCAATTGTGTGTCAAATAGCATGCCATGGAGTCTGTCTGGGTTTTCAGTTCATAAGCACAGAGTAAGTCAAAACTAATTTGATTGTATCACAATCCTGGCAAATCCGTCATTAATATGCTCATTGCTCATAGGCAAAGACCTAACACTAAATATGAATATGTGTGGTCTGGCCTCTGGGTCTGGCCAAATCTTTGACAAGGTCTTGCACAGATCCTTGAATCCTTTTCATGGCTCCTCTCACATTTGTGCTTTTTCATCTATTTGAATGTTTGTCTAAATAATGTCAATGAGACCAATGAAGGTGGAGACCCAGTCTATCTTCCCTTGTGTTTCCAGCATCCAATACAAGAGTATGGCTCATAATCAATATTCAACAAACACTATTTGTTGGATAAGTTAAATGAAATGATCACCTTGCCTGTCTGTACTTTCTCATCTCACTTCATAGGGTGATATCCACAGATACGGTCCCTGCCGTCCCTGAACTGGACTCAGGGAAGAAAATCTTCTGGTAATTGGGGCAGTCTTGTTCCCACTGAGAAAACGATAAACATGAACAGAAAGGCAAGGCTTAAGAAATGGGGACAAACACTATTTTCACATAATCAACAGAGATTTTCGCAGCATGCATCACTTTTATTCCCCTTTGGAAAATTAGCAATCTGTTATTGCCCATGCAGGAGGTATGCAATGAAGAGAAAGGTCCAAGAGCTGGGCAGGGGGCCATGGCGAGTAGCAGGAAATTATATCAGGTGACAGCTCATGAGCCCATCCACGGAGTCCCCGTGCCAGATTGCATCTGAATTGGTCACATCGTCCCAGAGAGTGGGCATCCCCACTGTGTGTGTGGAGCCGACAGATTCTGGGTCCGAGCAGTTGCCTGCCAAATCCCCACGAAGCCTCTGTTGGCCGATGCCCCAGGAAGGCCTGGTTTCTGAAAGGGGAGACACCCGCTGTTTAAATTTATGTTGGCTTTCAACTGCCACAAAGACAATCTGCTGAAAAGTTTATCTCAAGTTGAAATGAAAAGGAAACGTCTTAAATAAATCCAGCTGTTTGTTTCAGTTCTTGCTTTTTTAATTTAGTTGAGCCAAGCACATTCATTTTCAGAGAAAAAAAGAAAACTGCAGATGTATAGAGCCCAGGAAATTGATTGGTTGGGGGGGGCGTTGGGGGGGGGGGTTGGTCAAAGAACAAAAATGTCATTTCTGCATAAGAATCCCCATCTTTTCAGATTTTAATTGAGAAATAATGAAGCCTTCCAGCCCACTGAGGAGAGAATAGGAAATGATTTTTCTTCCCTTCCGAAACATATTACCCATTAGAAACTGGATGCGGAGAAATCCCTGGGGGGAAGCTCCGTGTCTCTAAGGCCATCCTTCTCAATAGCTAGCAGAGCTATCACAGCTATCACAACTTTCCCCAAACCTGCATATGCCATGCCACACATTAAAAATAGTAGTCTTTGGCTGCCTGATTGTTTTTGAAGAATTTGCCATGATTCAGTCCTATTCAAGTACTTGCTAACTTCACTGGTTTCATTACCTGGGGGCCAGGTTCAAGTGTAGCTGCTCCACAGCCTGTTTGGACAACGCATTCTTGCAGAAGGTGGGTTCGGAGTTGACTGTGGGCAGAGTGGCCAGTGATCCCTGACTCCATCAGTTCAGCAGCTGGGCAACAAACAACTTTCCAAATACCTAAGTGTGCGTGGAACTCACTGGGCGGCCATGCCTGCTAAAGCTGTCGAATGAATAAGTGATTCTTTTAAATGTTAAAATAAAATGATGTGCACAGGACAAAAAAAGTCTTTGCACAGCACACTGGAATCAACAAATGTTGATCCAGTTTTAACTGAGAAAATCAACAGTTTTTAAAAGGTTAACTAGGTAAAAAGAAAAATAAGGTCTCCGATTATCATGGTAATTGTGCTGATAATTAACTGAACTCTGCAGAGAATAAAGCAAATATGAACTTTGCCAGTGGTCAGGACTCCAGCCTCTTTGCCACCTACCCCTCACAGGCATCTAACCCCACAGCCACCCACTGGTCAAACTCTGTTGAATTCCTGGCTGAATCTGCACTAGGCCTGAGGCTGGGCCAAGGGTGGGCTGTGGCTAGGCCCCCAACACAGAGGAGAGCCAAATAATTGAATGCAGACCAAGAGCACCTAAGTGTCACTGCACAGTGACTCTCAACTGAAAGTGATTTTGTGCCCTCCCCCACCCCAAGCCAGGGGACATTTAGCAGTGTCTGGGGAAATGCTAATTGTTGCCAGTAGGCATGTAGTGAGTCAAGGCCAGAGATGCTACTCAACACCCTACGATGCACACACCAGCTCCCCACAAGGAAAAACTATCCAGTCCAAGTGTCCATCACGAAAGGTTGAGAAACTCTGCCCTCCTTGAATATGTAGTGAGAGGAAAGAATGTCCAAGAGGAGAATTTTTTTTTTATTTCTGTGAATGACTGTCTGGCCAAAGAGACCGTGTTCTGTTAAGGTGAAGTCTAGAAACAAATACAGCGTTAACACATTGTCTGTGAACCTGCATTTACACAGCATACCAAGGTCATGCCGCTGGTGATGGGGTCTCTGGGCTGGTGGTGCTGGCAGTCTAATCACAGGCCCCACAAGGACCTGGGCACCTCAGCCCTCACAGCGCAGTGCAGAGCCACAGGATTAAGCAGTAGTATTGTAACAACTTTCGCAGGAAATAAGCACTAAAGCTGGTTATAAAATGTATTTTTCCCAGTTCTATGAAGATATACTTGACATATAATTTTGTGTCGGTTTAAGGTGTAGAACACAATCATCTGATATATGTATACATGTATCAAAAAGATCACCATAGTACATTTCCTTCACAGCAATCATCATACGTAGTTACACATTTCTTTCTAATGATGAGAATTTTTAAGATCTACTCTTTTATTAACCTGTCAAATGTACAATACAATATTATTAGTCACCATGCTGTACATTACACCCCCGGGATTTATTTATCTTATTACTGGAAGTTTGTACCATTTGAACATTTACCTGTTTCCCCCACCCCACCCCCACCTCTGGAAACCACCAATCTGTTCTTTGTTTCTGTGACTTGATTTTTTAGATTCCACATGTAAACACAATTATACAGTATTTACCTTAAGAACATGTATTCTTTATCCTGGCTTATAGCCGAGTAGTCATTCCATGCTAGTCAATGCTTCTGAAGGACATTTGTGGAATTCCTTACTTTCCAGGTAAAGAGAATGGCTACAAAATGAATTTCTCAAAGAAAACCCCAGTTGTTAAATTCATTTATAAGAACAGAAACGTATTTTCAGAGAGAAAAGCACAAGCATTCAGCTAAATTTACAATTTCCGAATCTAACTCTCCAACTCTGGCCCCTGTGCATCTTCTGGGTACTTCTGCTCCTGTGGAGGCCCTAGTTTCGGGACCCTTGCGAACTCCCCGCCAGGCCTCGCTGCACTGCGGGCAACGACGGCACTGCCAGTTGCTAAACCGTGTCTCTCCCCGCTAGCAGATCACACTGTGCACTGAGCTTTGTTAGGACTACTCCAGTCGGGGCTGCCCCGGACTCAGGGGCGGACTGCCTTTCTGTCTGAACACACATGGAGGCAGACCTCCTATTGCTGGGCTCACCCACAGTCCTTCCCCTTGGATTCATGCCTGAGAAAGTGGAAGGAAAACCTAAAACTTCGCCTCTGCCCTTTTCCTCTGCTTCCATTTCCCGTTTTTCCCCTTCAAGCCAGAAGGTGCAGGCTGTGCTTTTACTTCCCTTTCCTGTCAGCAGATTTTTCCCGTTAGGCATATCCAGAGGACAGGATGTGGCCGCCCTTTCTCCCCGACTCCAGCCTCAAGGCCATAGTTATACAGCAGGGGTAGAGACAGGAGTGAAACTCAGTTCTCTCTCAGCAAACATGCATTCTCCTTGTTATATGCACGGAACACCATCCATGGGAGAATTCAAGTCGACCTCTCAAATTCTCAGGAGCAGTGCGGCCGGCCTCTCGGTGCCTCAGTGTTCTTACCCATAAAACGTAGGTGACTATAATAATGTCTGCTTCCTGGGAATGTGGTAAAGATTACCTGAGTTAATATTTGACAGTGTAAAGCGTGATACAAATGTCAGGAGAAATTATTGTTGTGGTAAATTCTTCACCCTACCATATTAGGGATAAGAGAATTCACTCTCACATATAGGTGACATTGGGGCTCTGTTCCTCCATTTTTTCAGAAGTTTTGCTTCCTAATTAAAATCTCTGTAACTGTATGTGTGATCAGTCTCTGAAGTCATTATTTAAGGAGATGTTTCTATTACAACTCTGCCTTTTAGACTCCAGTCTAAGTGTTTGTTCAAAAAAGAATACCTCATCTCTAATAGCAGCAAGTTGGACTGGGCTCATCACTGCAATTGTCCCTGAAAGCACATGTCAAAAAATGATTTGTCACTGTGAGTATAGCGTGAGTTTTCTTTCCAACAGGCTTACTGTCCAATTAGGCTTTATTTAGTCTATTATTAACAGAATTTTATATAACCCTAGTATGTGTCATCACTGATTTGCTCTGGGAAAACTGTGCTAGCAGACTTATTATTATTCCCTTCTCTCCTTTTCTATTTACCTCTGTATTGCATGGTTAATTCTAATACTTAGGTCATTAGCACTGCCTCTCATAGTGGAGACCTGGTGAGCATCCCCTCCCCTTCTGCCAACTTTGCTTCTATTAATAGGACACCTCTTTACCAAGGGGAATACTTTCCAGGTGGTGAGGATGGGACTAAATCTCCAACGAGAGTCAGTGACAGGCTCAGGGACGGGTACATAGTAGGCCCTGGGGAATATGAGGGTCTTCCCAGGGATTTGTCTGCTAGAACTTTCTAGAGAAACATCTCCAGGGGGTTTCTAAACAGTAGGGTATAAGCCTTGATTTCTGGCAGCCATATTGCCTGGTACCTGGGCACACCTGCCTGAAGAGTGAAGCCGAGCAGAGAGTCGATGAGACAGAAGGCTGCAGCCAGAGCCCTGGCAGCAACGTCTGCGCTCCTAGAACCTGCCAGTCTTAAAGCCGTGACTTCCCAGTTACATATCAGTGAATTCCTCCCTGCTTCTAATGTATTTATTTTGTTATGGTTTGGGTTGGGTTTCTGTCACGGGCAGTTGAAAGCATCCTAATTCACAGCCTAATCGAACATGTGGGTTTATCTTTGTAGAAGTGATACTCATGGATACGACTAGTGTCTGACACCACAGACCTAACTGTCGCCAGTGGGATGCCATCAGTGAGGGTGGTCTCAGTGGCTGAAGGGCCCCACAGACTCATTGCCTGCTGAAGAACGGTCATAACCGAAGGGATTACCCAGCCCTGCCTCCTTTAACTCTTTCATGGAGGCCGACTTTGGTCTCCTCTGGGATTTGGAGTGATAGCCTGCATCTTTAGAGCCCCAGGATACCCGGGTCCTTGTTGGTACTGGGAGCTGATTCTCTCTTAGCCTCATTTTCTGCTTTTATCAAATCAAAATGGTGTACTAATTTGGAAAGTCACTATTAATCTTAAGAAATTATGATTCCTACGTCCTGATTGTTCCCAGAATTTGTCTCACACAAATTGTAAGCTCTTTATATGCAGAAATAACATTTTAAATTTTTCTTAGAGAAAAGAGGGTTGAGGAACTCAGAAACCTACAGTTAATGGAGTAAAATCTCTCAGACTGACACTAGTTGCTCCATCAAAAACATAAAAGCATAAACCACAGAAAGATAAATTAAAAATAATAATTTCTTAGCACAAAATTACTTAATATAAATCTTTTTTAAAACATTAGTTTTTCCTTATTATACAGTTAATAATAAATTTTTAAGTTTTGGAAAAATTTTAATAAGAAAAATCTTTTATAATAATTTAATGCAGAAAAAATTAAATATTCCAATTATATCCATTCTTTTCAATTTAGGGAGGAGAAACTACAATGATTTGTCCCCAGATATGGAGCAAATGATCTACCCTACAATTTTTTTCACATAATATTTTGAGCACTCTGTTATACTAGTAGTTTTTGAAATCATAACTTTGATAGTTACAAAATATTCCACTATGTACAAAAGCCATAATTTAATTTTTACTACCATTGAGAGACATTTAAGTCATTTCTGAATTTTCCTCGTTATAAATAACATTGCAGGGAACTTTCTAGTATATGAATTTTGGTGCTCATCTTCTCTTACTTCCTCAATTGGTATTAATTAATTAATTATTATAATAATAATATATGATAATTAATTATGTTATCACATTTACTCACATTATCACATTATCACATTATCACATTTACTCACATTTTTAAATGTGAGTAAATTAATTATTAATTAATTATCACATATGATTATTATAATAATTAATTAATAATTAATTTACTCACATTTAAAAAATAAGTTATTTAATGGCCAAAATTTTTGAAAGGTTTTTAAGCAAATGATGAAGTAGCTTCTACACTATTTTTCGTAAGGATCCTAATGTAAAGTCAAATGTGCAGTTTCATGAGGCAATTTTGACAGAGGCATCTAGTGATGTATTCTTTGTCATGTACTTGCAGAATCTGGTGGAAATATCCTCAGGGTTAGATCTCAAAATGCTGTGGATGCTCAGAAGTGTGTTGTCTGCCCAATATTTACTCACACACAAGTTTCACCATCTGATTTTGTCATGTGACAGGAATAAATATTTCACATGTATATCTTGCTGTGTAATTTACCAAGCACTTTCATATGCACTATTTGATCCCAACAACAAATGTCATAGAAGGAATATTTTATCTTATTTCTAAGTGAAGTAACTGAGAATCAGCTTTATCTTTCAGAAAAATAAATCTATGTCAAATCCCATCCTCTCTTTTTGAAAGTCTCTGTGGTTTTACCTTCATGGTAAAAACCTCGGTGGTAGGAGCATTCCCCAGCATGTAGGACCCTTCCCAAGCTCCCTGCCCACCCTCTTCTCCTGCCTCACCAAGTTCTTCCTGTGTTCTCACCACCATGCTCCGCCCACCCCTACCCCGCACCAGCCCTCCTTTGCCTTGAGGCCTCTCCATTCATTGCGAGGTAAACTACTTCCATCCTCTTAGACTGTTTCAAAGGGTACTTTTGCAAAAGGCACCCTAGAAGGCACAAGTTTTTCATTTACAGTTTAGGGTCCTCTCTTTTTATTGTTCCACTACTATAGCACTTACTGTAGTGTATCTGATTGCATGTACTTTTTTTCCCAAATAAATAGAGTACCTTTGGGGTAAAATCACTTCTTATCTCTGTAATCCCACTATGTAGCATGCCGCCTGGCACACAGCAGCTGCTTTGTTGAACAAACCAGTTTGGGGGCAGAGCCTCAGATCCTCAGTGTTCGCTGAGGTAGTCTAGGGACCCAATGGAAGCTACGAGAATAAACACATTTGGAGAAGGTGCTGTACAAATACAAACATGAGTTCTTCCGTTTGTGGGTTCCTGCCCTCCAGCAAAGGTTGTATAGTTTAAAGCAAACCTGCATTCTTATAAAGTTGTTTCTTAGAGGAATAAAGAAAAAAGCTAAAAATATTGAAGAACAATTTCACACGGAATGCAATAGCAGGGGTCCTGGTCTGGAAGCCACACTGCTTGGTTTTTGTCCTGGTTTGGCGATTATCAAATTAACTGGTAAATTAATGTCTAGCAATTAATGAATTAACTGGCACACGCAGCACCTTTCAGGCTTGGCTTCATTATCGAAGAACAAAGGATCTGGATTAGGCAACTCTAATCCCCTTCCCACTCTATTAATTAGCTATGAAAACACTCTGAGGTATAATACATAAAATTAATCCCTTTATACAAGATGAGGCAAAAGTATGTTTACAATTGTTCATATGGAAAATGATACAGTAATTAGTAAATAGTAACACAAGAATAAACTCTGTTTTGCATACTCACAACTGTGAACCGACGTTTGCCCCACACTGTATTACTTTGCAATTTGTTTTTTTTAGGATTTTTATCACTATAAATTTTCACTAAAATTACCTATTTCATATCTGTTACAGGTTTTTCAATATCTAAGGGGCAGGTGGGGAATGAAGTATTGTTTCTCAGCATCTCCTTCTAAACTGGCCAACCAAAGCACTCTCCTCTGCCCAGACCAGGAGCCGGGCTCCCTCTGCCCGGGCCAGAAGCCTGAGGTCTTCCGCTTCCATGTGTGTGACTGGGATCCGGTATGGCTCAAGTTCAGAGGTGCTTCTT